CCATCCCTGCCACAAAGGCCATCAAATAATGTTAATCTCACGGAATCTCACTATACATCAGCCAATCTCATTCTCCCCTCTCTCATGACAAGGCGCTCACGAGTCCTATCATGAAAAAAGGTTCATTGTGCGACCTGAGTAACGCGCAGTAACGGGGTGTCTGCAATGGTAACTGCGTTATAGTTACAGTCAAAGTAATTAGTTAGATTACTCGTTACTAAAACAAGGTTACTTTCAACGCCGTTAGTCCCATCACTGAGTATAGATACCTAAAAAGCGTTGCCGTTTCCCTACGACTTTAAACGCATGCAAGAGCCGATTTCTCCTCATGAACGATGTGTTTAAAAGTCTCTGTTTGCATCGCTCATACAAGCTCACTTTCCAAAAGAAGATTTGCAATTTTTCCACGATGTCACACTCACCACTGGTAAGGGAAAATGGGGACGAGCACGTAGGACGGCCTTACATAAACACATCACTAGAATGATTGACAGTTAGGAGGACCACTTAGAACATCCTCTACTATACCTTTAATGCCTTATTTATCTTAAAAAAGGGGTTATAAGAAATTGAAGGAATTAGTTGTATTACATTACAAAGTAAAACGTGAACTGTTACAACCTGGACAGCACACTCTTAATAGTGAAGGAAAAGTGATTTTAAACAACCTTTAGCAAGAAACGCTAAAAACAAATGTATGTTTCTGTGGCTGGAGGGAAAAATGAAACGATTTGAGATTGTTAAAATATAAGGAACATAAAAATATCTAGATTATCCGTCTAATCTGGTTCCAATCTGTCTTCAAGCTGAGGCGGTCTGATCTGATTCATTCATTTGGAAATGTGAACGGGCTTAATGAGGTAATAAGGAGTCTTCCTCTTCCTGCTCCTGTTATTTCTGCAGTAAATGTGAAGTCATTTTTTCACGGAAAAGGAATAAAAGATAAAGAAATAGAATAAAAATATTAATTGACAGATTTGGAAAAAGACAAACTAGAGCAGAGGATTGATTATGTTTCACTGGGATTAAATCCAATTTATCAGCCATGGGATGCTTGAAAGGATAAGCTGGATGTGGATTAATTAGTGTGTTCTCTGTCTGTCTGTCTGTCTGTCTGTCCAAACCCAGATCCTGGGTCTGATGGTGGTGCGAAAGATGCTGGACATGGTGTTCTCTCAGCATGACCTGGCCTGGCTGGACGACCTGTTGCCTGAGAAAGAGAAGAAGAAGAAGGAAGACGACAAGAAGAAAAAGAAGGAGAAGGAAAAGAAGAAGCCTAAAGCAGATGACAGTGAGGAAGAGGTGAGAAACTAAACCCTCTGCTGCCCCCTGCAGGACAGACGGCCCATGAGGTTGTTCTCTGATTAATATCTGTACTGTGTGTGAACAGGAGAAGTACCGAGGCTATTCCAACCACTCCCCCAGCTCAGAGTCGGACCTGGATCGCAGGTACTGTGTTCTGAAACTGCACATCCCCTACAAAGACCTGGTGTACCCTGACGTAGCGCAGTCCGAGTGGGGGGCCCACTGCCAGCAGGCCGCCCGCCACATATAGAGCTTCTTAGGAGCCCTGCACAGAACCGAGGCTCCGTTCCCAAAAACAGACAAATCTGACATAAACCTGAATTCACCATGGAACAAAAACGAACATTTTATGATCAGAGATCCTTTATATCCAGAACATGTTTGAATAGTTATTCAGGGATGATGTGAGAAAATGGTTTATCTCTCTGTATTGAAATTCTCTGTTTGCATTTGATTGGCTGCTGGATGGTTGTTACCTTCCAGGTTCACACAGTTCATTCAAAAGGATCTAAACTGTGGTTACGAAGAAGCAGCAGATTAATAAACTAATTTAAACAGCAGACACGAAGGACATGGCTAAATGCAATCAACTATTTTAAGATGAACCGTCATTTTAAAACATGCTGCAAACAAAAAAATTCATTCATAGATGCTGATTGTCATTATTTTATTAAAGTTCAGACCCAAATGCTGAAGACCAAACAGGGAGACCAGGAGAAAAGGTTTAACAGGTTTTATTGAAGAGATAATGCAGAGAGAAGTGTTGCTCTGAACACTGCTCAACCGGAACTGAAAAGTGAGGGGAAGACACAGCGGTTAGTTCAGGCTCTGTGGGAAATTTGACTCTTGAACTTGGAGAAGAGGATCTGGTTGCTGACTCACGTTTCCAGAGAAGTTGTTGAATATTTGACTCCAGTCTGTATGCTGTTGTTCCAGTGTTTGTCTGATTCGGTGGAGGGTGGAACAGGGTTTACCCAGATTGCAGTTGTTTGTAGGTGAACAGAGAAGCTGACTGCAACTCAGATTTCCTGCGGTACTTGAATAGGTCGTAGTGGAGATGAATCCCTTTCTCAGTGTGAAGCTCAAACGATCTCTTGGGTAAAGTGGATCCAAACCTTCTGTTTGAACCCCAGCTCAGCTTGAAGCTCTGTTGATCCTTCCAGGGAGAGAAGGTCCGAAAAATCCAGTTTGCAGGATGACTTCCTGCCGAGAGGCAAAGAC